GGATCTCCAGATGTCATAGCTCATTCTACTCTATGACAACCACAAAGGCGTTGAAGGTGAGAAGAACCACTGGGACTGTACTTTAACCTCTCAAGGGAAAAAAAAAAATTATGTAACCAAAAGACCATAACAGGCTGGAGCATCCTTCTTTAGAACATAAGATGCTCAACAAATATCTCTAACTGGCTATATGTCTCATTCCTAATTTTTAACTAAAAACCAAATGAGTCCCCATGCCAACACGTCTGTGCTAGGTACTTAGAATACAAGAAAATAGAAAAGTTAATCAAAAACCTTTTTACAACATTAACACCTCTCTCCCTACAGGCTTTAATATGTTAATGGTTTGAGGATCATGGTGGGATCTAATGAAGATGCCACTTAAACCTTTACCCCCTTCCTGTCACAGAACATGTAGAAAAAGATGGCGTTGTGATGAAAACACCAATATGTTCCCTTCTGCCTGTCAAGTTAATACTGCAGGATGTGCATAGCATCCTTTCCAGAATGGCATTCGTATTTCCCAAACCCATCCACTCAACACTTTTCCAGTTTTAAAATAAATAACATATGCCAATGCAAATGAGCCCTAGCAGTTATTCCTGTTATTTCTCTTGTTTGGTAATTCGTAGGCTTTCCTTGCTGGTCAGTTAAGTAAAATGACACTTGGTAGGAAGAATACTTTTGGATTTTCTGATCGCCTGATTAAACTGTCATCATATAGCTGGAAAGTTTCAAGTGCTAAGGTTGTCCTCACAAATACAGGCCATTTCAGGAGGTTGAAAGTATGATAAAGAGGGAAAGATAAAGCTAAAGACATAAACGAAGAGAAAGGAAGCAGGCACAGGGGTGGGGGAAACTACATGAAAAAAAAATATTTAAAAAAAATGTTTAATCCCCTCAAATTAAAATCTGGCCAACTCCTTGAATGACTGAATAGGAACAGGTCACAGTGTAACTTTCCCCACTGCTCTTCCTGTCCTGTTTGGATCCAGTTCTTACCAGGTACAATGACAAACCCTTCCCAACAGCTGTGAGCTCTGACTTCTGAAGCTCCCTCTTCCAAATGACCATAAAAAGACATTGCTTTCAAAACCCACCAGCCAATCACATCCTTAAACTGAAGAAAAGCTATCGACTTGGCTTAAAATGATGACAAGTCCAGGCTACTTAAATGGATGTAGTAGCAGCATCCCACTGTTCCAGGCAGGGGTAACTTTGCTTCTCACCATCTCCCTTGCCCTCATCTGAACTATCTGGAAATATACCTGGGCACCACACCTCTCTGAAATACACAATGCAGATTTTACTTTACTAAGTGACAAAAGCTGGCCTCAGGTACCAAAAGAGACTAGAATGCTTGTACGACAAGGTACCTCTGTCTTTGAGCTATGAAAAAGCCCTGAAGAAAATAGAAGCTTTGTAGATCTCACGAAGCAACGAGCATCAAAGATGGTCATTGTCTGAGGTCTTGTGGGTGTAGGCCCTGTTTCCTACTGCTGCTGTAGCAAATAACCACAAACTCAGTAGCTTAAAACAACACAGATTTATTACCCTCAATTCTGAAGGTCAAAAGTTTGAAATAGGTCTCACTAGGCTGAAGTCAAGATGCCAGCAAGGCTGGTTCCTTCTGGAGGCCCGAAGGAAGAATTGTTTCCTTGCCTTTTCCACTTTGTAGAAGCTGCCTGCATTTCTTGGCTTGTAGCCCCTTCTTCCGCCTTCAAAGCACATCATTGAACCTCTATTTCTTATTGTCACATCTCTTTTATCTGTTTGTGATCCTGCTTCCTCCCTCTTATAAAGGCCCTCATGCTTACGTTGGGCCCACCTGGATAATCCAGGATAATCTCCTCATCTCAAAACCCTTAAGTCAATCATTCCTGCAAAGTCCCTTTTACCATGTCCAAAGTAGGAAGCTGTAGTTTTATATGGCATGGTAAGGGAAAGCCTCTGTGACAAGGACACATAGGAGGAAACACCTGAGGGAAGAGAGGGAATGAGTCACTCAGATATCTGGGGAAGAGACGTAGGCAAGGAATCCAGCATGGGCATGGGCTAAGTGGGGAGCATGTTTCCCAGGGTGCTCAGGAAGAGTAAGGAGGGGAGCGTGGCTTCAGCTGTGTAAGCAACGGGAGAAACGGGGCAGATGAGGTGGGGGAGGTCTCAGCAGACTACAAATACCATTGTAAGAACTTAGCTTTTATTGTAAGTAAAAGCCAGCAATCAAATAAGCACATTTGGGATTGGAGATTTTTTAGGGATCTTTTTTTATTTTCTTTTTAGCTTGCTCACATACAGACATTTAAAAATAGCTGCTAAATACTTCTTTCGGGGAATGTGAGGCACTCATAATAATAATAAAAAAGTGCCTTGGGCTTTCTTACAACTGGATACATCAAAGGGTTTTCACTAGTAATTTGTGGAGCGTCCGCCTCTGGGTGCCACTGCTGTGATTTCAAAATAGAATTATCTTGTGCTATGTGATTTCTTGAATCATTAGTTTTCCATTTTCTCTTTCTCTTTTCTTCTTGTTCGATTTTTTCAGTCCAACATCAGTTTATACAAGAAGGTTTTAAAAAACGGTGGCCCATGGGCAATTGGGTGACGGGGGCAGTTGCAGAAGAGGGAAAGGAGTGGAGCCTCTTCCCTGGGCACAGAGTGACCCAGACCCCCTGGATCAATTCAATCAATGGAGAGCGGGGTCTGGTCAGGGTGTCCAGATTTTCCAAAACAATGGGAGTATGGTAAGGAAAAGACTGAAGGCCAGGGGGAAAATTAGGAAAAGAGAACTCTTCACAAGCCAGTGGACTACTTTACTTGATTTAATTAACCATTTCACTGCAGCAGGGGCCTAGAACGAAGGTATTTTTACCACACAGAGAAGAGTTCTTACCAGAAGCACAACCATCATAAACAAAATAGAATCCCGGTCCCACCCCTTTAATTACTTGGCTGACAGAAAGCTCAAACGCTTCAAAATTAAAATTATCAACAATTCTAACTTATTATGCACTAAAGAGTACTTATCTTTGAAGATTAATAATTTCAGCATAATCAAGGAAAAATAACAAAATTACTTAATTTCCTTCTCAGTCAAAGCCCCAAATCTTAAAAGGAAGAGCCTTCAGGCAGGGAGCAAGTGACTACCGGCAGCCCTAAGGAGCCTCCTGGATTATCATGTATGTAGGGCCTACACAATGGGACAGCAGACAGCTGCACCCAGGGGCACAGGAATAGGACTCTTGGCCCTCTTGCCTTTCTTTCCCCACCTCTGACTTCCAAGATCAGTAAAGAGAAGAGGCTGGCAAAGAGGATGAGGAGAAACTATTACAGGGGCTCTGATTCTTGTGGGTATTTGACTGCATGATCCAGCTACATGCCAACATTCCTAGGTCTGCAATATATTATGGAGTATTATTTTTAAATGAGAAACAATTAAAAAGATGGGTCCAGGTATGCATGGAAGAGGAGCAAGCAGGAGCCAACAGGAGAAATGAGGAAAGAGCTCTCTGGGGGCTACAGAGCCCTTGGAGGGACACTCCTGTTTGGTTAAGGGCAACATGCAGAGCAAATAAAACACTTCTGGGTCCCAGACTTGGGCCTTGAGGTGCCAATTTGTGCCCTTTGGAACAAATCCGACAGTTCTTGAGTTTCTGTGGGGAAGGAAAATAAAGAGTCCCATTTGCAAAACTTTCTCCAGGAACTCCAAATTCCCTGACCCACAGATGATTATATTCTTTCTAAGTTACATATCTTCGCGCAAAATATCTCCATTTTAAAGAATCTAAAATAGCTATGTTGATACAGAAGAAGGAATTGAATTAAGGTAAAAACCACAGGAAAAGCCCACTGCAGTAAAACTCCTCCTTAGTGATTCTTAGCTGAGAAAATACAGGCCCACAGACCTGGGCAGGATCAGAAGTAACCTGTGTCCTCACCATGGCCAGCAAGGCATTCAAGGACTAGGCTGCATCCTACCTTTGTAAACAACCCCATTCTCCCTCCACTCCTCCATTAGGTCATGAGGCTCCTCTCGCACTGGCTTTTGTGTCTGTCCCTTGATCATTCTAAACTTGTTCCAGTCCCATGGATTTTGACCTAGCACTTTCCTGGACACTGTCCCATGTTCCTTGCGTGGCCTAGCCTTTTTCCTCCTTCAGATGTCAGCTCAATTGTCACTTTCTCAGAGAAGTTTCCCTAATCATCTTTTTTAAGGTAATGTATTCCCCAGGCCACACTCAGGTACTCGTCAGCACATCATTTCATTTTATTCTCTTCATAGCATGACTCTCTGAAGTTATCTTGCTTATTGCCCATTGCTTATTGTCTTCCCCTGTTAGAGCTGGACTGTTGCCTGTCTGGTGTTTCAGTATGTCCCAAGTCAGGAGCACTGTTACGTCATTCACAGGGTCCAGTACAAATAAAAATGTGAGCCCCTTGTTCAAAAAGCAAGAGAAAAGCTTTTTCTTTTCCTATATGGTCTCTCTCTCTCAATATGTCACAGTATTTTTTATTTGCTATTTAATATTGTGTTCCAATTATGGGGCAAGTACAAACCCTCACAGATGCCAAGGGCCCCTACTCTGTGACTTGGCGCACAGAGCATGTGCACCCAACCCTGACTCTCCTCATGTCTATGCTCAGTCCCCACCAGTGTTAGAGACCAAAAGGAATGAACGGTTGAGAACCCAGTCCAGGGAGGAAGGGAGGCTTGGAAGGATTCTCTGAGCCTCCAGCACATACCCCACTGTCCTATTGGACTTCACTTACAAATTACAGATCCTAAGACAAAATTATCAAGAATTTCAGGGGCCAGCCTGGTGGCGCAGCAGTTAAGTTCGCACGTTCAGCTTCTCGGTGGCCTGAGGTTCGCCAGTTTGGATCCCGGGTGCGGACATGGCACCACTTGGCAAAAGCCATGCTGTGGTAGGCGTCCTGTGGATAAAGTAGAGGAAGATGGGCACGGATCTTAGCTCAGGGCCAGTCTTCCTCAGCAAAAAGAGGAGGATTGGCAGTAGTTAGCTCAGGGCTAATCTTCCTCAAAGAAAAAAAAGAATTTCAAAATGGTGACCACAGAACATTAAACCCCAAGCACAGAGCCCCCATCTAAGCACAGTGCTCATGAGTCCAGTCTTATCTCCAATCTCTAGGACAACGCCTAGTATGTGGTAGGGAGTGAAAGAATGAATGAAAGAACAGCAAGTAAATAAACCATAATTCCACAGACCACTTCCATTTTGCCTATCTTGTGGGCAAGCTGGCTTGCTTTTCATTAATGAATAACTCTTCCTTGAGAGCATACCATCCACAAGTCATTACACTGGGAGTTCTGAGGGCACACAGAGATGAATCAGGAGCAGCCTCCTTCTTCATAAAATCTGCAGTCCAGTAGTAGAACTAAGACAATGCCCTCAAACAACTCCTCTGTGAGGCAAACAATGAAAAGTGACCTAAGGTACAGAACAATGGCAGCTCAGAGATCTATATCACTACGGGGATCACAAAAGTTTTATGAAAGAGGTGGCATTTAAGTGGGCCTCTAAAAAAGATATGGGGTTTAGTCATAAAGAGAACCCAGGAAATGGTGACAATGTCAACAGAAGGTAAAAGGAGGAAAGCCAGAATTACATACAGTAAAGAGGTAACGGTGCTCAGGAAAGAGAACTGGAAAGCAGCTTGGGTAGGTAGTTCAAGATGAATACAGAGAATCTTGAAGCCACTTTTTTAAGAATTGACATTGTCAGGTGGTAATCTGGCTGCCTTGCTACATTCATTATGAGTAACTGTAACAAATTACCACAAACTTGACAGATTTTCAAACAACACATATTTATTGCCTCAGAGTTTCTGTGGGTCAGGAATCTAGGTGCAGCTTAACTGGTTCCTCCTCTCTGCTTCAAGTATCTCACAAGGCTGCTATCAAGTTATCAGCCAAGGCTCATGTGAGGTTCAACTGGGGAAGCTTTCAAGCTCATATGGTTGTTAGCAGCAGTCAGTTCCCTGTGTGGAGGGCCACAGTCCCTCACTGTCAGCCAGAGACTACCCTTAGTTGCTTGATGGGCCTCCCTAACATGGTATCTTGCTTCATCAAGGCAGGAAGAGAGAGAGAGAGAGAGTTTTCTAGGAAGGTAGAAGTCACAGTGTCATGCAGCGTAGTCATGGAAGTGACATCCCATCAACTTTTCCATAATCCGTGGTTACAAGCAAGTCACAAGCCCTGGCCAAACACAAGGGGTGGGGATTTCACATGGGTGTGAGTACTAGGAAAAAGGTATCATGAGGGTCATCTTAGAAGTTGCCTACCATACTGCGGTAAGAGGGAATAGATTGGTGTAGAGACCAAAGGTGAGAAACCATCAAAGATGCTGCTACGTAGGCTAGGAGGGAAATAATTAGGCCCAAAGTGAAAGGAATAAGTACAGGGAGAATGGATATTTACAAGCTCATTCTCAGTGGTAGAATTGATAGTACATAGGCCTTGTCAATGAGTTCTAGGTGGGTGGTAAGGGCAAGGGAGAAAGTAAAAGAAGATCACAAGATTTGAACTCAAGTGACTGGAATTAGAAGAGTAATTAAGAGAAAGAGAGAACAGAGGAGGAGAGGCCAGTTGCAATTTTCTTGGTGGGAAGAAGAGAACACATTGAATTTCAGATTCTAGAATACCATGCAAGGCGACGATATACTTGGAAATGTTGAATTCCAGGAAAGCTATTGAAGCTAGACATCTATATTTGAGAGTCACCTGCACACAGGTGACAGCTGATGGCACGTGATTGGGGATAAAGAAGATGCAGCTATCTCGAGCTATGATGAAACAGCTAACGAAAGCTTAGAATGAGGAAGCCCTTGCAAGCCACCTCCTCTTGTGGGAATTCCAGCCTCACTTCCAGGCTGGAATCTGGAAGGGTGAGAAGAGAAATTTCAAGTCAAAACAAAAACTTGAGGATGTCTGTAAGATCTGCCAAGAGTCAAATAGTTGGAATACTGGGCTTGACAGGATTTTTCTAGAGACAGAGGTCTAGCTACAGGCAAAGGCTCCCAACAAATACACATAATACACTGACTTTTAAACAATAAGAGGACTTTAAGTTTAGATTGCTTCTTAATATTTCCAAATCACCTACATTAAGAATTAAACCTAAGACCATCTATTATTATTATTTCATTCTGCAGATCAGAAAAGTGGGGCTTGCCCTATGTCACACATATGGCAGTTCTAACTAGAATCTTTGCTTATCAAATCCTCACCCAGTGCTCAAGTCCCTTCCAGGGTACCAAATTCCTGGCCTAAAATCTGAGTCTAAATGCATTCTCCTAGCTATTCATGTACAAAATCAAAGACCCACTGTATCTAACACACACACAAATATGCACACATACTTCATAGCTCTCAGACATTAATTAAATTTGGAAGCCCTAAAGCCCCCAAATCTCCAAATAAAGAAATGATCTTGGGATACTGAAGCAGATGGGAATAAGAAAACCCTGGCCTCCCCACAGAAACCTTCCTCTTGTGGAAAACTCAAGTTTAAGGATAAGGAAACTCAGCTGCCTTCACAGTGCAGAACTGAGCAAACTTTTAAGCCAGACCAAAAACCCAAGGCATTCCCCATTGCCAATCCATATCATAATCAATGTTGATTGAATGTTTGAATGTAATTCGAATGAAAAGCATTTCAAAGCACAAAAGTTCTGTTGCCAATAAGTTTAGTCTATATAATCAAATGCATTCTTTCTGGCCCAATCAGCCGAGGCTTGGCAGAATAAAGGTCTTTGGTATGAGCAAAAAAATCCAAGCTTAAATCTTACAATTGCTCCTTTGAGGGTCGTTGACTCGGCAAGTTTTACAGTGGTGTACTGAAATGAATACTGCCTCTATGCAAAGCAACAGGAGGTCACATTATAATTAGAATGCAATCAGTGGAATTGGTTATGGCTTGGTTTTCTTTCTGAAATGACAATCTACGCCACATCTGCCATTACATTAATATTTTCGGCATTACTAGAAGAACAGAGGGAGGGGGCTGGGTAAAGGGAAGCCAGTGTCTTTCCATGGAGCAGCTGATAGAGTTGTCTTTAGCTAGAAGTCCGCATGAGCTAATCAAGACCCAAACAGTTCACCTTTAAAATACCGAAACCATCTGGCAGGCTGTCCCATGATAAATCTCAATGATAAATGTCTCCGTTTTGATGTTACAAAGGAACCGCAGACCTGCTCAGTTTTGGCACAGCTGAAAACATACTGGCAGCAGTAGAATAGAACTCAGATGTCTCAAAATAGAGAAGTAAATCATTTTGACCTGCGGGGCATAATATATTTAGAGAAAACCTGATTGTAATAAAAAGGTTGGACTCATCACAGTTTCTACTATAGGAGCGGCAATATATTTTTCTGTAATACTTTTCGGTTTAGTGAAAACTCCAGCATACACAATTTAAAAGCCTCATTCTTTTTTTTCCCCCTTCTTTTTGTGAGTCTTCAAACAACTCTCTCTGCTGCTTGTGAACTACAAGAGTTTTCTCTCCCCGGTTCTCAGACTTCTTGCAGGGGAACTGTGGAGGCAAGCATGCCTTCAGAATGATTAATCCACTTGCCTTCAGAGGTCTGTTTTGCTGGGCCCACAGCCACTGCCAAGAAAGGACACACTGTGACCACCAGCGCCAGGAACTGAAGGTATAGCCTCTAAACTCAAGGTTAGCCCAGACCTGATGCCGAGAGGGAATTGTAAAATAAATTATGTTGTGGGGTTGGGAAGGTGGACCTTTATGTCCAGCCAAACTTCAGAAACAAATTATAGAGTGGTCAGTTGACCTTATTTATTTCATCTTTTTTCCCACAAATTTAGGAAATTAATTAAACATGGACATGGAGTGTCAAGGGCAAGGTACGAAAAGCCTCCCAATGCTCGTGGCCCCTGCTCCCCTTCCCTGGCCGAACACACAGCTCCACAGCCCTCACTGGCTCTGAAGCTCAGATGAAGGATCTCAACCTAACGGTGGCCAATAAAAACAGGGCCTCATCAGTTCAAGGTCTCCAGGGGAGCTGCCTGGGACCTTGTGATGACTGAGCAAAGCACTGTCTCTTTCCCTACTCTGATCTGGTTGGTTGCAATAGCTTGACCAACTCCCTGCACTGCTGATGGGATCACTGTCTGGTGACTAATGGGAAAGACAGGTTTCCCATCTGCCCCCTGACAAATGGTTTAATAAAATGATTTTGCTCACACATCCAAAAGGGGAGGCAGAAATAAGCATGGGAGGTAATATGTCTCCAATGAAAGAGGTTTCAATCTCACCTTCTTGATCTCCAGACAAGTTGGGGAAAAAGAGGAGGCCCATCTCTGTCTCCAGAAGCAATTTTTCTGCGTAAAGTGGAGTCATGTGGAGCAGTGGAGGCTGCTTTAAAACTCATGGGGCCTGCAGCAATGAGAGTCTGTGATTACTCAGGCACTCTGGGAAATGAGTGCAAATAAATTTGAGGTAACTATTTTCAATAAAACTTTTAAAAATATATACTGACAGTCCATTTGGAGGGGAAAAGACATAATAATTTATTGGCTGTTGGCAACTTAATTGGAGACAAGTTAGCCCATACCTTCTTGTCTGTCCTGGGCCAAACAACACATATCCAGTTATTTGACCGTCTTCTCATAAGTGAGTTCCAGAGGTGCAGAGAGGAAACACCCACTGGCTCATCAGCGTCCCCAGCTCTTTAATCATTTCTCTGGCTCTCACTCCAATTCCCTCCAGGTCACTGACATCTTGCTGGTTCAGAAGTGTTTAGAAAAGAGCAAGGTATTTCATCTGACATTCTCAAAGGTTCTATAGGGGATAGAAAGGGTGGGATGGGGCTCCTTACTCTCCTGGGTAAGACAGCACATTTGAACAGGTACAGATGAAAGAACTGCATTGTCACTTTCTCCCCCCACCATATGGTCTCTTCCTCTCATATCTGATTTATGACTCCTGATTACCACAGATCCTTTGGCTAGGCCACTTTCCAAATGTCTTCCTACTGTTGAATATTTGGGTGCCAATACTTCCCCCAGGGAAAAGAAGAGACAAAGAATAATGGTGCCCTTATTTCTGTCCACTCCCCCTTCTCCCCTGACCACTCCACACCATGCAGTGTTTCTGGTTTTATTTTAATCATCTGGGACAGGAAACCGAGGCTATTTCTTTTTCCTTGTCTGATCTTTAAAGCAACATGAGTCGGGATTACATTTTCCAGAAAAGCAGGTAGACTGAGTAAAAAATACTCAAAAACCATGTATCTGGTGATGCTATTGTGTTGTATATTGACAGCCATATTATTCTCCAGTGGTTCCTCAATGACAATAATCAACAAGGAAGGTGGATACCAATAGGAGCGTGTGTTAATCAAGTCACAAGGAGTATAGAATTCTCTCTTTTTCTAGCCCTTCAAACATGACAGCTTCTAGCCATCATCTTCAATCAGAAATGCCCATGACTTCCAGGGGAAAAAACACAGGCCATGGTAGGATGCTAAGGTTCTCAACTGACTCATCAACCCCAATCTACAAATTGGGTTCCATTCTTCTCGTCTCACAGGGAACTTTTTGTATCAGGCAGCACAAAAAACATAAAGTTAAATAATAAAATGCTGTTAGTGCTACTATTGTATGATGCTCTTACAGTTACATGGTTTATATTTTATTTGTACTAAGTCAATTGAACATCATGTTTTCACACTATTTTAGGAAAATAATTATTTCTTGATTGCCTGTAAGTGTTAGAAAATACTCATCTATTCATGCGACAAATAATTATTGACTGCCAGGCACCATAGGAGATTTAGAGCTACAAAGAGAGTTTTCAAAGAATTTGACAATCTGTCTTGAATAATCTTATGTAAGTCTTAGATTCAGGGAAAATAACATGGGAATCTGACCTGAACACCCAAGAGAAAAGAAAAGAAAAAGAACACACAAGCAAAAGAACACGCATGGCTCTAATTCATGTGGTAGGGAGACAGTATGCCTTTGGGAATGAATTCAAATGTACTCATCGGTGACTACAGTCATCATTATGGGGTGACAATGTTTGTGGCATAGAAGTGACTCCAAAGCTGCCCTTTGATGAGCCAAGTCTGTATTTCATTCCCATCCTGATCACCCATGTTGACTGGGCAGGGGGTCAATGACTACACTTGTCTGCTAAAAAAACGACAGGAGGAGTTCCAGCTGAGATAGTTGGGCTGTGATTCCAAAGATGCATATTATATTAAAAAGCAGCAATAATATGGTAATTATGAGAGCCAGCCAAGGATACAGTGGGGTGGCATAATCGAGCAGGAGCTCTGAAAGTTTGCAGCTGATTATGGACTAGAAATACAGTTTGATTCATTCAGGTTGGTTGCACTTCACCCCAGAAGAGATTGCACTTGCTTGCTCCTCCTGCAGTTGTTCTTCTATGGTCCCTTATTTAATCTCAGTGATGTGGACCTATTCATCTTTTCAAGGTCAGGGGGCTATGCTAGCTCTAAGTGGAGAGTTTAGAAGAAGCATGTCGGAACTCAAAAACCCACTTCTCTTCTTAGATTTGCTCTAGTTCTGGGAATTAAGCCCAAAAGAAGGCATAAAAGAGATGAATCACATCTCTCTCATTGTTTGATTTGAATTTCATTTTGTATGCCATGTGGGTAATGCCTAACATGTCTCAGAAATGACAATGGGAGAAACCCCTTGGGGAGATTAGGCCTTTATGCCCTTCCAGTGATTAATGCATGCCTGGGCACACTCTCACTCAACCAACTACTAACATACAAAAAGAGAGCAGATTAAGGTTTATAATGAGACCCTCCCTTCCTAAAATTAATAAGAATATTAACAGTAGTTGAGCAGAAGCGGTGGTGGTGGTGGTGGTGGTAGTGGTAGTGATCTTCCTTTTAGTTTGTTGTGAAGAGTTACACAGCTGTCCACCATGAAGCTAGGTGAGCTAACTCTGAGAAATAACACAGGGTCTTCATCCAAGGAGCCATAACTGGCTATAATCTAACCCCAGAGTGAACAAACCAAAGCAAGATTCTTAAACCTCAGGTCGGAACACATTCTTCTTCAACCTGATATCTATGAGGAATCTTTATGAGGGCAATTTTCATATTTATGGAATATCTTTTTACTAGTTGACAAAATATGATTGCCAATGAAAAACTGAAGAATCTTGTCTGCAAAAAGATGAGTGATTTAAGACATTTCAATTTTTATGTTCTACTTTTTTCCCTCCAAAGGTAAAGGTTCTCAGAGAATGGATTGGAATCTCCCAATGGCCTATAACTTTATATCTTCAAGTGGCTACATCTATAAATGCCAGTTTTTAAACTTCGGTTTCTGAGAATGCCCTTTTAAATTAAAATTATCACTTCCCTGCTATCGCATCACATTTAGTAATATCCTATTAATTCTGACTGTGTTAGTTTATAAATGGCAAGTCTGAGGAGGGTATGGCCAGTGTGATCTTCTGTCTCACAAAATTTGAGAGCCATCCTCTAGCCATCCTCTTGACCTAATAAGCCTTCCAATTCTCAACCATAAAATGGGGTAGCTAGTGCTACCTTTTCTCTTACATTGTGAATGAAGATGGGATTATCAAGATAATATGGTGACCAAGCTATATAAACTAAATATATTAATACAAACCGTCACCAAAAAGGACAGTTAAACGTACTAAGCAATTGAGATGGTTCCTACCTTACTGTCAGTATTACCAGAGTTTGGCTTTTCTCCTTTTTTTAGTTCTGTTGATACTACTTCAACATTGAGACACCAACCTGAGCTAAAACTAAACTTTAATAACCCAGACAATGGGGAAAGATTTTTAAAATATCATTTATGCCAAAGTACCGAGACTTTGTGATGGTACAGCCTGTATAAATCCACAGAGATAAGATTTGCATAGATCTAAAAGTGGACCAGAACACTTATCTTGAAGAAAGTGTTTTGTTACCTGACCTCCAATCTATTAACATGAAGAACTTTTTATGACCATAAAAGATTAGGTTCCACGAAAGACATGAGCGATGAGACTCAGGAGCTGAGCCAATCCAAAGGCTTTTATTATTTTGATTAAAGAAAGAAGACGGGACTGCATGAATAGCTTTCTGGTTGTTTTATTCCGTGTGGAATAAGGTCACCAAGGGAGAATAATTTTCACTAACAAAAATTAACCTAAGCCTTAGTTTAATTTGTATGGCTTTCCACCCTAAGTGTGGATTCTGTCAAGCATAAACTATATTTACCAGACATAATGGATCTTGGCAGGTCAGAAAATTGCAGTTTGGTCTCTATTACACATAAACCACCAATGGAGGAAATGCTATCAGGATTGCCAATAAAATACATAGGATATCCTTACTTATCCTGCGGGCAGCAAGACTGACACCCCTTCCGGTGTTCTGAAAAAAAAAAACCCAAAAGAACAAAAAAGTTAAGCCTCATCAACTTTTGGCAAAATTGTAGGCTGCTCATCATGGAGAGGGTGCCAAATGATCACAGTGAAGCCCAGTCTTGTCATTTGCAGCTAATGGCACCCCAGGAGTGTGAGTGAACAAACTGCTTTCTGTGGAATAAGCTTAAGTTGCTGTAGAAAAGAAGAATGCTCCTTCCCAGATCCCTGGATTTTTACAATTCTGGAAATGTTATGACATTCTGCCAATGTGTATCTCTAGCACAGATGACCCCTACAGAGTATTGGTTAGGAGTTCTATTCCTCTTCACAGCTGCCAAATTGTGGATAACTTAATCAAAGAGTGGAGTCACTGCAGAAAGAAGGTGTTTCCTTTGGAAGGTAACTTCTTGGATTCTATGACCATGATATGCTGAAAATTCCTAAGTCTCTCTCTCTAGAGCCAAGAAGACTAACTATCTCCCCTTGAATGTACAAACAAGCCCTAAAATGGAACTTATCACCTCTGGTGAACCCCTTCCATATCTCTTGAAAATCTTTTCCACATTGGTACACCTGCCAGTGAATGGTACTACCACCCTACCCAGGTATGCAAAAGACTTAACATCAGTGGAGAGGGGGCCTGACCAATGAGAATGGACACTGGCCACTGAGCTGGAGCAGCGTACTAGTACACCACCCCTCCACAACTATGCTCAGCATTAACTCAATTAGGGAATTGGGGGGCATATCGGAAGTTTGGAAGTTCCAGGGGAAAGGCCTGGGTAGGAAGAGGAATGAAAGGCCACTCAGGGGAGCTTTGGGGCAGCTTCCATGAATGTATTTCATTATTTTAACAACCAAGATGGCTATACTGGTGCATAGTGGCTGAATACCAGCCTTGGTGCCATCATTCATTCAGCCTGGAGTAGCCTCGTCTTTTTGTTCTATTTCAGCTGCAATACAGTCAGTCACTAAATCCTTTCAATTTTGCCTCCTGGTTCTCACCATCACCACTACCCTCATACCATTACATTGGTTAC